ATGAAAGGGAAGACGATGAGACAAGTAATACTAGCTCCTACACGTCTGTCGTGATTAAAATGAATGACTCAGAAGATAGTAAGTAATGTTAAGAAAAAGACAAAAAAGAAATGTAACGCCCAACGTGGGGCTCGAACCCACGACCCTGAGATTAAGAGTCTCATGCTCTACCGACTGAGCTAGCCGGGCGATCGGTAAAAGTGTTATCTCGACAAGTAATTATAATGGTATTTTTTCTAATTTTCTGAATCATTAGTTGGTGGTGATTCTAGTGCTAGTCTCGGCGTAGGCAAGAAGACCTCAGTGATTTTACCAGACGAAATAGAGCTSCCAACACCTAATGTGGAATACAAGGGACTGACTGAAGAAGAAACTGGAGTTTTACAGGCTGCGTTAACGAAGTCATTCTTCTGTAATGTTAGCAGGTATTGTTTGTTGATATGGAACAAAGACATTCCAGCCATATTTTGGTGCAAGAAGGAGGACCACTAGTGCGACTGGTGATGTCTTTGTTTAATGGGAATTAGAAAGTCTTTTTTGTCGATTTGTACACTGTTTGTATTTATAACTTTTTTTTTCCGTAGGAGTATGTACGAGCATCATCGCTTGATGTTTGCAACACTAGTGTTCCTTGTACTTCGTAAAGATATGCCTCAGAAAGAGATAGAGATCCTGCTTAATAGAGGTATCAAACATCTTTTAACTATTTGTTTATCTTTGTGGCATTTAAATTTTAAGAAATGAATAAGAAAGTATAAAAATAAACATAGAAATCTCTGATATTTTGGAGTATTGATGACTTCTAAGTCAGGTACATCATAAGGCCTTCCTCGTGGGATTTAACAACAATGAAAAAAGTGTTTTGGAGCGATAGGGACGATTAGATAGACATAAGCGAACTTAAAATTTTGTTCTTCAAGGTAAAGGACTCTCTCATGGCGTGTCTTTGTCAGACTTTGACCCTACACTAGTCAAACCCAGTTGGTTATCAGCAGACATTTGGGATTCRATTCTTGCCTTGTCCTCTTTTGATGGCGCTCTGGAAGGGATTTGTGCACATATTGCTGGTGATCCGTCTGCGTGGAAGCAATGGTACAACAGTCCAACGCCTGAAAACCAGCAGTTCCCTGTCAAGGAAGGGTCGAAGACACTCAAGAATTTCGATAAACTCTTGTTGATTCGCTGTTTAAGACCAGATAGGTGAGGAGACATCATGATAATTGCTTGACAGTATGACATCACTGATTGACATATGAGAACTACTCTCCTGGTGATAAACCATTTCCAAAAAGAAAAAAAAAAAAGAAAGATAACGCCCAACGTGGGGCTCGAACCCACGACCCTGAGATTAAGAGTCTCATGCTCTACCGACTGAGCTAGCCGGGCATTTGTTAAACGTTTCCAACATCTACTGGTCATTATTATTAAGCTATTATTATCTTATTAGATTCAAGTCAGCCATGCGCATATCAGTTATCCAGTCCCTTAGTCAGTT